TTTGTGTGAATCCGTGCGCTTGCTTTGCTTTTTACCATGGTATATATACTGTGATTTTTATTTTACTAGTAACGGCGGAGATCAGTAACTTATAGCAGGACTGCAGCGGGCATTCTGGCACTGGGGGGGGGGGGGGGGACTGACTTGATGTCACTGACATCCCCAGTGACATCAATACAGTGATTAGTGCTAATAAAAAGCACTGACACTGTACTAATGGCACTGGACAGGAAGGGGTTAACATGGGACAATCAAAGGGTTACCTGTGTGCTGTTTCACATACATGGCTATGCAAAGCAGTGTTCAGGACCTGAAGGGAGACAACTGGTTTGTTTACAAACAGGTCCCCCCCCCTCTCCTCTGTTGGGGATGCTCGGCAATCACTGGCCAGGACCCGGTGATTGATAGCTGAGGCTACGAATGCAGCGCGGGTAGGACACTCGCATGCACCCTACCTGGAAATGTAAAATCACACATATATATATATATGTGTGATTTTGCGCCGCCCTGTAGCAGTACTTCTGCTATAGGGTGGTTGGGAAGCAGTTAAAACACCTATCAGGTTTTTATTGTTGTCGGTGTTAGGGAGATTCACGCTCTCTATTTGTTATGTTTACTGTTATCGCTGAAAGTGAAAGAATATATTGGGTTGTCCTCATAACAGGAATATAGGACATATCTTCAAATAAGAGCACTAGTTCTGGTGATCCTGACGACAACCAGGGATTTCCCTCACTTTGAAGGGATTTCCTTTAACTTCTTGTTTTAACTATGGGACAGGAAGTGAAGGGAAATCTCCCCAATGGGACACATATGGGAAAAAACTTCCCCCAACTCCTATCCAAAATTAGTAACAAGTTTTGCCTTTAGTTCGGCTTTAAACCGCTTCCATACAGGGCACTTTTAACCCCTTCCTGCCCAGGCCATTTTTCAGGTTTCAGCACTTACACTTTGCATGACAATTGCGTGGTCATACAACATTATACCCAAACTAAAATTTTATAATTTTCTTCACATAACTAGAATGAAGCCATCCATTGTATACAACTGTCATGTGACCTGCTGTGATTGGTCACAGCAGGTCACATGGTACCGGCAACGGGGCCAGGACTCAAATCTGTCATCGGCCGTATCTGAGGTACACGGCCGGTGACAGATTGTGTGGCTCTGCGGGCATGCAAACTGCGCATGCCCAAAAGGACGCCATATGGCATCCACCTGGAGGGATGAGGGGTTTTGCAGGCCACCATCTGGCCATAGGCCGGGCGGGAACCTGTTAAGGCTGAGAGGTGACCAGTTCCTGCACTACTTTGGTCCGACTTTGATGGAACTTGAGGACCATAGATTTCAATGTACACCCTCCAAAGTCACATGAAAGTCGCACTTGAACTTCTTGCCCAGTGCCATTAGTACAATGTCAGTGCATTTCTTTTTTTAAGCACTGATCACTGTGTTGGTGTCACTGGCGATGTCAGTGACACCAAGTCAGTTCCCCCCCAGTGTCAGAATAGCCCGCTATGAGTCACTAATTGCAGCCATTACTACTAAAAGTTAAAAAAAAACCCAAAAACATATATATATATACAGTCAGGTCCATAAATATTGGGACATCGACACAATTCTAACATTTATGGCTCTATACACCACCACAATGGATTTGAAATGAAACGAACAAGATGTGCTTTAACTGCAGACTGTCAGCTTTAATTTGAGGGTATTTACATCCAAATCAGGTGAACGGTGTAGGAATTACAACAGTTTGCATATGTGCCTCCCACTTGTTAAGGGACCAAAAGTAATGGGACAGAATAATAATCATAGATCAAACTTTCACTTTTTAATACTTGGTTGCAAATCCTTTGCAGTCAATTACAGCCTGAAGTCTGGAACGCATAGACATCACCAGACGCTGGGTTTCATCCCTGGTGATGCTCTGCCAGGCCTCTACTGCAACTGTCTTCAGTTCCTGCTTGTTCTTGGGGCATTTTCCCTTCAGTTTTGTCTTCAGCAAGTGAAATGCATGCTCAATCGGATTCAGGTCAGGTGATTGACTTGGCTATTGCATAACACTCCACTTCTTTTCCTTAACAAACTCTTTGGTTGCTTTTGCAGTATGCTTTGGGTCATTGTCCATCTGCACTGTGAAGCGGCGTCCAATGAGTTCTGAAGCATTTGGCTGAATATGAGCAGATAATATTGCCCGAAACACTTCAGAATTCATCCTGCTGCTTTTGTCAGCAGTCACATCATCAATAAATACAAGAGAACCAGTTCCATTGGCAGCCATACATGCCCACGCCATGACACTACCACCACCATGCTTCACTGATGAGATGGTATGCTTAGGATCATGAGCAGTTCCTTTCCTTCTCCATACTCTTCTCTTCCCATCACTCTGGTACAAGTTGATCTTGGTCTCATCTGTCCATAGGATGTTGTTCCAGAACTGTGAAGGCTTTTTTAAATGTCATTTGGCAAACTCTAATCTGGCCTTCCTGTTTTTGAGGCTTACCAATGGTTTACATCTTGTGGTGAACCCTCTGTATTCACTCTGGTGAAGTCTTCTCTTGATTGTTGACTTTGACACACATACACCTACCTCCTGGAGAGTGTTCTTGATCTGGCCAACTGTTGTGAAGGGTGTTTTCTTCACCAAGGAAAGAATTCTTTGGTCATCCACCACAGTTGTTTTCCGTGGTCTTCCGGGTCTTTTGGTGTTGCTGAGCTCACCGGTGCGTTCCTTCTTTTTAAGAATGTTCCAAACAGTTGTTTTGGGCACGCCTAATGTTTTTGCTATCTCTCTGAGGGGTTTGTTTTGTTTTTTTCAGCCTAATGATGGCTTGCTTCACTGATAGTGACAGCTCTTTGGATCTCATCTTGAGAGTTGACAGCAACAGATTCCAAATGCAAATAGCACACTTGAAATGAACTCTGGACCTTTTATCTGCTCATTGTAATTGGGATAATGAGGGAATAACACACACCTGGCCATGGAACAGCTGAGAACCGAATTGTCCCATTACTTTTGCTCCCTTAACAAGTGGGAGGCACATATGCAAACTGTTGTAATTCCTACACCGTTCATCTGATTTGGATGTAAATACTCTCAAATTAAAGCTGACAGTCTGCAGTTAAAGCACATCTTGTTTGTTTCATTTCAAACTCATTGTGGTGGTGTATAGAGCCAAAAATGTTAGAATTGTGTCAATGTCCCAATATTTATGGACCTGACTGTATATATATATATATGTGTGTGTGTGTGTGTGTGTGTGTATACATATGGCCCTTTGTAAACGCTATAACTTTTCACTTAATTTACACGTATTGGGACTTTTTTTTTTAATTTTTTTTAGCAAAGACATGTAGCAGAATACATTTTGGCCTAAATTTATGACGAAATTACTGGAATGTTTAATAGCAAAAACTCAAATATAGGTTTTTTTTTTCTCAAAATTGTCGCTTTTTTTTTATAGCGCAAAAAATAACCGCAAAGGCGATCAAATACCACCAAAAGAAAGCTCAATTCGTGGGAAAAAAAGGACATAAATGTCATTTGGGTGCAGTGTTGCATGACTGCGCAATAGTCAGTGAAATAATGCAGCGCCATAACACAAAAAATGTCCTGGTAAGGAAGGGGGGTAAATCCTCTGGAGAGCAAGTGACTAAAGCACCTCCTATGAAGAATTCTGGGTACCATCATTTCTTGCAATTCCACAGCCATGCTGAATTTTTGGACTTGACATGTTTGGTATCTATTGACTTGACGCAGCCCCATCTTTTATATTTTACCAAAAATCAGGTATAAGTCACACCGATCCGACTTTAAAATCGTGCGATTTCCAGTGAAGTCGCACGATTTCAAAGTCGAATGTCATTCCGACTTGCAAGACATCTGTGTCTTGCAAGACACAGATGGCTATGCAAGTATCACCTGAAGTAGTGCACAGGGGCGGACTGACCATTTGAGCACTTGGGCATTGCCCGAGGTCAGTAGGGGGGGCTCCATGAAATGTCCTTGGTACCTTTTTCATAGGCTTTTTTGAGTGTGGGCAAAGACACATGGGCCCCATGATCCCCTGTTGCCTGCGGGCCCCATGTCAGTCCGCCCCTCCTAGTGCATGCACTACTTTACAAATCGGTGCAGCTTTGACCAAGTCAGAATGGCACCGATACAACCGCTTTAATTACGGACAATTTGGTGCAACTTGCCATGCGATTTATTGGTCATGCGATTTGAAACTTGTATGGTAAGACGCTACCCGGTATGACACGACACTAATACTACGTTTGCACTAAAATTCATTTTATTTTCCTTTTTTTTCCCTGAAAATATGTGTTGATAAATGACGATGCAATTATCCTGCAACATCCAAAAATTGCAACTCCCACCATTTTATTCTGCACGGTCTCTGCTGTCAGAAAAGATCCACTTTTTGGGGAGTTTACAGTCATTTCTAGCAAAAAAAAATGCAGATCGCAACAAAAAAGTGAAACAATTGCCCTGGTAGACAAGCGGTTAAAAGAAAGACCTCCATTGGCTACATTCTGACAGTGACAGCTGCTGGGCAGTGCTGCCCCCCCCCCCCCCCCCTGGTCTTTGTCACTTCAGGGACCCAGCTGTGCGATAAAGTGACAAAGAAGGGCGTGGCAGGGAAGAGCCTCCAGCTGTCCCCATTCATCCGATCCCTGGCCATGCTGCCCGCAGCCCATGTCCCCGCCCATTGCTCCCTGACCCTGTAGCCCAGCCCCCAATGTCTTGGGAGGGGTTATCGGCTTGGCCGGAGAGGGACTGACTGCAGCTGCCGCTCTTCCTATCAGATCAATAACCGCAGCTCGGATCAGACCTGCGCGGCTGACAGGCTGCCGGTGACGTCACACCCATCACAGTCATGCCTCTCCTCCTGTGAATGTAGCGTTGTCGGGACCGCACGGGATGCTGGAAGGCGGGGCGGCTCGGGCACGACAATAGAAGAGTTCGTGGGAGCGCTCCGTCGGCGGTCATGTACACCTTCGTGGTGAGGGATGAGAACAGCACCATCTATGCCGAAGTGTGTAAGATTCTCCGGGCCACGGGACAATGGAAGAGACTGAAGAGGGACAATCCCCGCTTTCATCTCATGCTGGGGGAGCGGAACAGACTGCCATTCGGGAGACTGGGTGAGAGCCGACACACGGGCCGCTTCTGTCCTCCTCATGGACTTCAGTGACGTCACACGGCTCGGCTTTACTTGTGTGACCCGTATTTAGCCTCGTGAGCTCTAGACTAGCAGAGCCCTATAGGAGAACAGGGGACCCCAGTGCACGAGGGCCACAGGGAGCTGCATGTGGGTGTTGTCTGCTGCACCAAGAGGGGAGCTCAGACAGTACAACTGCAGCATTGGCACCAGTACTCTCCTAGCCAGGGGCTGAGCCTGTCTCTATGTCCTGGTATAGGCACAGTGACTGGAGCTGTCCAACAGAGAAGACGCCTGTTATTTATTCTACAGATAATCACATCAATGCACATCCAGGGGCAGACTGACAACTCATGGGGCCCCCGGCAATAGGGGATCATGGGGCCCGTGTGTCCTTGCCCAAACTTAAAGCCTATGAAAAAGGTACCAGGGGCATCTCATGGGGCCCCCTGCTGACCCCGGGCCCTCGGGCAGTGCCTGAGTTTCCAAATGGTCAGTCCGCCCCTGTGCACATCTATTATATATTGGGGGGGGGGGGGGCGCAGATATACCTTTTATGAAAAGGGCCCGCTGACATTTAACCAGTCCAATACCGGGCACTCTCACCCCCATCCTGCCCAGGACAATTTTCAGCTTTCAGCGCTGTCGCACTTTGACAATTGCGTGGTCACGCTACAGTGCACCCTTATGACATTTTTATCTTTTTTTGTTTTTTTTTAGACAGGACTTTCTTTTGGTGTTGTTTAACCACTTCCCACCCGGTCTATAGCAAAATGACAGCCAGGCATACCTCTCCTCCCTCCGGTAGGGCATCCTATGACGTCTTTCCTGGATCGCGCTTTGTGCGTGACCGCAGGGCCGCGCTGTTGCGAGATCTGTCACCAAATGTGTGCCTCCAACACAGCCGTTGACAGATCTGTGTACCAGCCCTGTAGCCAGTACCATGTGACCTGCTGTGACCAATCACAGCAGTCAAAATACTGGTCACCGACCCAGGTCTATAACTGGCTTTTTCAGCAGTGAACACGGACGGCCATCGCATACGAAATATAAATAGGGCTACCCTGTTCAACTTGCCAGCCAGCTAACCAACAACATTGGTCAGCAACCCCAGTCTAAAAATGGCTTTTATCAGCAAGGAACGTGGATAGGTATCGCTTATCAAAAAGGGGGATAAGAAAGCCAGTTCAATCTGCCAGCCAGTTAGCCAACTATCAAAAACCAAATTAACCTGTCTAACGACATGCGTTTAAAAACGGGTTTAGTTAGCACACATTTGCAAATGCATACATGAGCCACATCACAGCACCCTGAATTTCTGTGGTCCTAACTCTATAAATCTTGAGAGTCCTAATAGTACAGGCACATGCATTTAATGGATAGACCAAGGGCAGGTGGACCTGAGGGAGCCAAACTGTCTCATGACAGTTGTAAATAATGGATGGCTTCCTTTCATTGCCATCCATTGTTTACAAGTGTTGTTCTGTCTCTCCAATCTAAGCATTGAAAGTGTGATCTCTGTAACTTACAGTTGTGATGAGATAGCGATAACTCCAATCTTAGTTGAATATCACAGGCAGTGACTCAATACAGAAGATATCTTGTAGATCTTGCAAAGTTTATTCCATAAACTGAGAGAATCTTACAACAATGAACATCTGATAGGTCAAAAGATCATAATGTGACCTGCTTCATGAAATGAGGCTAGAAGCTGCAATGCATTTCTGGGGAAAAAGGGTGGGCTATCTATACAGTATTAACTAAACCGGAGGAAAGGGAGGAGCAGAGACAAAATATAGAGAAAACTTAAAGACATCTGTGTCTAGCTGTGAATTATTATTTTTATACAGGTTTTATATAGCGCCAACAGTTTGCACAGTGCTTTACAAAATGAAGGTAGATGTTACAATACAATTTGGTACAAGAGGAAACAGAGGGCCCTGCTTGTTAGAGTTTATAATCTAGGAATGGTCACAGTAATCACATGCACAGGCTGGGCCAGTCACAGCCCGTCTGTGTCATGAGATTAGCCCTGGCCAATCACAGCTAATCACAACAAAAAAAACCTGAATGAATTGATTTCATTCAGGTAAATGATTGCTTATAGCAAATTAATGATGTAAAAAAAAAAAAAATCTCTTCCCCAAAGTAGCACAATGTACTACTTTGGTCATAGTGTAATATGAAAAACAATCTTTAAAAAAGAGAAAAAAATTTACTAAAAATTTTATTTTTAAATTATAATTTTCTTTTTTTCGTACCGTCACAAGTCAGTGTCCCTGATCACCACCACACCAATTATATGATGACGCTGTACTGCACTGCTGACAGTATGTAATAAAAAAAAAAAAAAAAAAAAAATGAAAATAATTTTAGTTTAATTTTCTGAAAAAGTATGACAAAAATTTACAAATTAAAAAAATTCACCAGGCCTCTTATGGAATATGTTGGACTGTCTAGGTTGAAAAAAAGAGGTAATTTGGGGGATATCTGTACTGTTCTGACATTTGTGGCCCTCAAGAATTTAGATTGGCCGTCAGTACTTCAGGATTGATCGATTTTCAGGTATATTCCATAGTTTTTGAACTCTAACTTTCCTACAAACTAAATAAATACTGATTTGGGTTATTTTCACCAAAGAAATTTAGCAGAATACATCTTAGCCTAAATTTATGAAGAACAATTATTTATTTGCAAACTTTTATAACAGAAACAAAGAAAAGTGTGTTTTTTTTTTTTCAACATTTTTTTTTTTTTTTTTTTTTTTTTTTTAATTTTGTAAATTTAGCATAAAATAAAACCCCCAGTGGTGATTAAATACCACCAAAAGAAAGCTCTAGTTGTGTGAACAAAATGATAAAATTTTAGTTTGGGTACAGTGTTGCATGACTGCACAATTGCTATTCAAATTGTGAGAGCGCTGAAACCTGAAAATTGGTCTGGGCAGGAAGGTGGTAAAAGTGCCCGGTATTGAAGTGGTTAATCACCACTGGGTTTTTTATTTTTTGCTAAGAAATAAAAAAAGACTGACATTTTTGAAAAAAAAAAAAAACACTTGTTTAATTTCTGTTATAAAATTTAGCGAATATGTAAAAAAAATTTTCTTCGCTGAAGGCTGCTGATGGGGCTTCGCTGAAGGCTGCTGATGGGGCGGTCCTGATGATGCTGCACTTATAGGCAGCACTAAAGGGTACTGCTGAGGCTGCTCTGATAATCAGTGCACTGATGATTAGTGTAAACAAAGCACTGTCAGAATTTCCAATTATCGGCCTTCCTTTCCTCACACAGTGACAGCGCTGAGGAAAGGCAAAGCCAATAACCAGCAAGTCTGTTCACATGTGATCAACTGTGATTGGACACAGCTGATCACAAGGTAAAGGGCTGCTGTGATTGGCCCTTTACTGCGATCTGTGTTCTGCTATGCCAAGAGACACAGCAGTCACATCGAACGCACGAGGTGTGTTCTGGGGGGGCGTGAATTGCATAGTTTTGGCACCTCCCTATATATTTAAACCTCCCTGTATCCCAAACGGTCTTAATAAAGCAGCCCATAAATGATGCAATTTAATTTTCTTCCACCATGGGTGGAAGGAAAGAAGATTGCTCAATTCCCCCATCAACACAGTTGGTGTTAATAGGGGAATCCCTTCCACAGCACTATTGTGTTCTGCTGGCAAGGAGCCTTCCTCACCTGCAGAACACAATGATCACTGCTGGCAGCTATAGCCCCTGGCAATGATTGCATGGAAAAAAATCTGACTGACAGGCTGCACTGAAGTTGAAAGATGGATCAACTTCAGTACATCCATTCTGCTATGGATGGATCAAATCTCAACCGCCCCCTGCTGAACCAGCTGAGAATCAATCCATCTATAGTCGGTTTAATTCTCCCTGTATCCTTAACCCTCTTTGTTTCACTAACTCCAACCATCTTCCTAGCCCTCCTTAACCCCTTTGCATCGGTTCCTCCCGGCGCTTTAAGAGTTTCAGAAGCCGGGAGACGGGGTGGGGTTTTAGGGTCATGTGACCGCCATGATTCGCTGTCACATGATCGGAAAAGGTACCGATCGCAAGAGGAGATTGGAACCTTTCCGTGAGTCACGGACATGTGTGCTGGGAGTGTGCTTTCGGCACATATGTATTTTCAAATGGTACGCAAATATGCGGCCGCTCGGCGTCATGGCCAGACTCCGAGAGGCCGTATATTTGTATGCGCTTGGTGTCTAGGGGTTAAAGCAGTAGTAAACCTCCTCAAAAAAAAAAAAAAATCTCCTGCATCGCATACTAGCACATTATGTACAACTTACCTTAAAATGAAGCCCTCCAGTGGGGCGCTGTCACTGCTGTAGAGGGTTCCATCTTCACCTGGTCTTTCGGCTTTAGGAGCTCCATCAATTTGGCTCAACCGTGACGATGGCACTCCCGCGCATGCGCACGGGAGTCTCGGGACACGGCACAGTGCTCTGAAGGAACAGCACAGATATGCCATTCCTTCAGAGCACTGGCTCTAAAAAAAAAAAAACAAACATATTTCCTAAACAGGGCACATTTAGGAGATACTCATTTTACCTACAGGTAAGCTTTATTAGCGTACTTGTAGGTAAAAATGAACAAAATGGCTTTACTGCCACCTTAACACTAACCTTTTCTTTAACTGGCAACTGCTTGCACATGCGCACAAAGCACTATACATATACCTAAAAGTTTAAAATGTAGATTTTACCTTGGTCATTGGACAGAATTCATGTTTTTTAACATGTATGTAAACCACTTCAGGGTTTTCGGAATCTCCAAATGCATGTGCTCATATACAAAGTAGTGCAGAACCAATAAATGACACTTATTGATATAAATATTGATCCTTGCTGTTTTTTCAAAGATCAACTCCAATCAAAGATCTTTTAGCATTTATAATGATCACTGTCTAGCCTAAGGTAAGGCTTACCTGTATGTACAGTAAATTTCTCCTAAACGTCACCAGTGCATGCGCATTGGGCTCTGAGTGGGCTATGTCGTCCGTTCAGAACTCTGCTGCTGCGGTGATGTCATTGCGGCTCTGCCATTCAAACGGCCAAGCCCGCTAACCCAAATAGAAAACCGGGTAAAAATGGAAGCTCCTACAGCGGTGATGGCGCATCCCTGGAGGGCTTCGGTTTCAGGTTACTCAATCATAATGTGACAGTGCAGTGCATACTAGCACATTATGACTGCAACCGCCGGGGGCCTAATTTTGTCTTTTTTTTTTTTTTTTTTCCAGTTTACTACTGCTTTAATATATAGTATGTATGAAAGTAGCTTTCATTGCCTTTTAACCTTTTACATTTCTCTCAAAATAATTTAAGCTTGGATTATGTAATGATATAACTGTACCACACACGTTTCGATTATTTATTACACTGATAATGCTTCTTGTTCCTGTGCTCTGTATCCTGACACAGGCCTTCTGCCTGTGCAGGGATTGTCTTTCCATTGCCTTCTATAAAATGATTTATGATGTCTGCCTTGGGAATAGACAGGCACATATTTCACTAAAACAGCATCCTATGAAATCCATCCATCCTCGATCAAATTGCAGTTCTCATTACCATTGTCTAGGTAACCTCTAAATGCCAGTCACTTTAGGCAATGTTGGAGTCTGTTACATTGTTTGCTTTTGTTAACCTTTTATATGGAACTCTTTGTTTACATCTGTGCATTTTAGGTCATTGTGGTTGGTAACTGTATCTTTGATTTAGTTTCTAGCAAAATCCCAATTGCATAGAATACAGTGGTAACATCGGTAATAAAATATGCACAACACTTGCAGAGAACCTAAGCATGCTGATCTCCCCCCACATTTCCAGTGACAGTGGGCTGGGGATCCTCTTCCTACATCCGCTGTCAGACTTCAAAATCAGTGCAGCTATGCAGGGTTCTGCCCAGACAGTTGCATTATTGATTCACAGGATTCTGTAAATGAACTACAAGTACCTCAATAAGTAGTCCCAAGTGACTCCTTAATTCTTCAAGGTTTGTATATTCTCCATTTATAAAACTTCAAAGCAATAACCTCCTCTTCCTCCTTTAACCCTCAAAAAAAAAAAAAAAAAAAAGATAGACCGTACTTTACAGTGCCTTACCTTTGTCACACAGTGAAAATGAAACTATAAGGCCTAATGTACACGGGGCGTTTGGAAAACTCTTCTGAACGATGGAAACTGCTGGAAAACGTAGGTTAAAAAACATCAGTTTAGCCACGGTTACATGCCGCGTTTTATGCGCGTTTAGAAGTGTTTTTAAAAGATCACCTCAGGAGACCTTCCCAAATGCCCAGAATGCACTGAAAAATATTAATTAACTATTTCAGACCTTTTGGGATAAATGGAGAGAGCAGAAGCAGAGAGAGCAGTATGTGTTGAGATTACATGTCTTTTCTGGTTGTATTCACTATGGATCCCATCATGTGCATAATGCAGCACGTTCTACCATTATTTTTTTTTTTTTTTTTTTCCCTTCACTTGAAATCTGGAACTGACTGTTGATGTGCTAGGTCCATTTGAATACATGGAAAACGCTTTGCATGCATTTCTGATGATGAAAAAAGGCTCTGGACAGCATCTGGATATGGAACAGTTAAAAAACGCTTCTAAACACAAATGCTTATGAACGCATTTAACTGCGTTTACAAGCATTTGGCTTTTGAAACACTGATAAAATCTACTCCTGAATGCAAGTTTGGTGCGTTCAAAAAAAACGACTGTAAACTCAACTGCCTGTACATGACATAGTGTACATGGACACAGGAAAACATTAGGGAGAGTTCAGGGGCTGCTGAAAAAAAACACTGAACAGCTCCTAAATGTGAGTTTATCAGCTGCAGTGTATATGAGTCCTAAAACACTCTCACATAAAAGTGCTCATAACCAGCAAAATCTCCACCAAGTGTCAATCTACATATGATATCCATAATTCCTACTCTTACCCTCTAGGTATAGATTGCTCGCTCAAATAAATTCCCAGCACGTGGATACTTCTCCAGAGTTCTTCCTCATAACCACGTATTCCCTGCAAAAAATTGAATTGCAGATAGTGTGATACTGTAAATAACTTCCAAATCGTGCCACTCAGTGCTCCCTTGATACCAGACCACTGGCCACCAATTACGTGAAATCATAAATACTCCACCACCTCTGGAGAAGTATCCGCATGCTGGAAATTTATTTGAGTGAGCAATCTATACCTAGAGGGTAAGAGTAGGAATTACGGATCTCAAATGTGGTTTGACACTTGATGGAGTTTTTGCTGGTTATGAACACTTTTATGTGAGTGTTTTATAGTTTCATTTTCACTGTGTGGCAAAGGTAATGCACCATGTGCAGTCTATATATAGGAGGAGGAGGTTATTGCTTTGAAGATTCATAAATGGAGACTATACAAGCCTTGAAGAATTAAGGAGTCACTTGGGACTACTTATTGAGGACGTTTATTTATATTGGATGCTGAGAAATATTTCATTTTTCGATTTTATTTTGGACTTTCTGGGGGGGAATGGGCTTCTTGGCGACCAGGGGTTGAGCACTTAATCATACACAGCGTATCTATGGCTATACATATTTTGGGGTTCAGTTGTTTTTTTTTTTTTTGTATAGAACTAAAAGTACCGCCTGTGTACCTCCGTGGCAGACGTCTTGTAGTTCCCATTGAACTGTGAGGGCACTGATGAGCGCTCTTGTAGTTCATTGACACTTTGTACAGCTCTCAAACAGGAAGGCCACACAGAGGTACGGGCTGAAAGCAGTAGCAAGCGACTGCGGAAGCCTGATATTGCAACCTTGATCAGTGCTATGCTCTGCAGGCTCCTGTGGGGAAAAAAAAAAAAGTAATAAAAGCACAATTTTGCATCTGCAAAACGTGCACTTATCCTTTTTTTTTTTTTTTTTGTAAAACGTGAACGTAGTTTTTAAAGTGTTACTGAACCCACAACAGTAAAATCAGTCTGTATATGCAGTAAAGCATGCTTGTTATGCTCACTGGGGAACCTAAGGGGTTAATTCTCTACATTGTGTAAAAAGGTCGTTTGATCCTGACTTCCCTGCTCCTCCTCTTGTTCAAATGTCCATGTCTTATCTCCTGATAAAACAGACTGAACCGTAGCCATTCTGCACATGCTCGGTTTAGTGTGTATTGCTAGAGGGTTTTTTTTTGTTGTTTTCTTTTGGGAGAGTGCATGTGATCAGCACAGGGCCATTTGGCACTGTCCAGATAGAGGTCAGGGGTTCTGCATCCTCCTAGAGCAGAAAGAAAACTCCTCCTACAAGCTTTAACCAGTGCTCTGCTGAACACTGATAGAAGTCACAAGACTGCTGTAACTGCTGATGAGAAACGGTATTTAGAAGGTTATATTTACTAAAATAATTGCACTTCCATATTATGTGTACTGAGAGAGACCAGATATAGTGAATGCAGGGTCCTGGGTTTAGTAACAACACTTTAAGGCTTTCAAATGAAGTTCGTTGACTCGGTGGCAAGGTAGAATGTTCTGACAAATTTATTTGTCTACAAATATTTGAATTAAATTAAACTGTTGTATTGCCAACTTTGGTTTCTTATTTGTAGTATTTACTCTTTTTGTTTGTTTGCCTACAGGGCATGAACCTGGACTAGTACAGCTGGTAAATTATTACCGTGGGGCAGATAAGCTTTGTCGGAAAGCTTCCTTGGTAAAGTAAGTGCCGTTAATTGCTACTTCTATTATTTTATGACTTTGCCTATGAAAGCAGTTCAGTGGTGCACTTTTAACCACTTCAATACCGGACACATTCACCACCTTCCTGCCCAGGCTAATTTTTCAGATTTCAGCGCTGTCACACTTTTGACAATTACTCATGTGACACTGTACTTGAATTAATTTGATCGTTTTTGAGACAGAGCTTTCTTTTGGTGGTATTTGGGTTTTTTCTTTAATTTTTGCTAAATAAATGAAAGGACAGAAAATTTTGAAAAAGAAAAAAAAATGTTTTTTCTGTAAAATGTTGCAAATAAGTAATTTTTCTTCTTCAGTGATGTGTGCTGATGAGGCTGCACTGGTAATCAGGGTGCTGGTGGGGCTGCACTGATTGTCAGGGCATTGTGTTTAACCTCTTTCCGCCCAGCCTATGGCCGAATGGCGGCCGGCAAAAACCCTTACCTTTCTGGGTGGACGCCATATGGTGTCCTTTCGGGCATGTGCAGTTTGTGCTCCTGCAGAGCCGCGAAGCCTGTCACTGGCCGTGTGCCTTGGACATGGCCGATGACCGAATATGAGTACCGGCCCTGTTGCCAGTACCATGTGACCAATCACAGCAGGTCACGTGACAGTTGTATACAATGGATGGCTTCATTCATGCCATCCATTGTATACTAGTGTGTCTAGCTGTGAATGGTCACAGCGATCACATGCACAAGCTGGGCCAATCACAGCCCAGTTGTGTCATGTGATTAGCCGTGGCCAAATCACAGCTAAGCACAAAAAAAAAAAACCCTGAATGAATCGATGTCATTCAGGTAAATGCTTGCTTATAGCAAAGTAATTCTTTGCTATAAGCAAATTGTGGGGGAAAAAAAATCACTTCCCAAAGTAGTATTTTTTTTTTCATTTTCCGAAAAAATTGACAAATAAAATACAACTTCAAAAAACTCGCCATGCCTCTTGTGAAGTACGTCGGACTGTCTACTCTGCAAAAAGGGGTCAGTTGGGGGATATCTGTACTGTTCTGTCATTCTTGGACCTCAAGAAATTAGATTGGCTGTCAGTACTTCAGGATTGATCAATATTCAGATCTATACCATAGTTTGTGAACTCTATAACTTTCCTACAAACTAAATAATACATCCTAATTTGGGTTATTTTCACCAAAGACCCGTAGCAGAATACATATTGGCCTAAATTTATGAAGAACAATTATTTATTTGCAAACGTTTATAACAGAAACAAAGAAAAACGTGTTTTTTTTTTTTTTTTTTTTTTTTTTTTTTTTTTAATTTTTGGTCATATTTTTTGGTAGTTTTAGCAAAAAATAAAAACCCCAGTGGTGATTAAATACCACCAAAAGAAAGCTCTAGTTGTGTGAAGAAAATTATAACATTTTAGTTTGGGTACAGTGTTGTATGACCGCGCAATTGTCATTCAAAGTGTGAGAGCGCTGAAACCTGAAAAATGGCCTGGGCAGGAATGGGGTAAAAGTGCCTTGTATCAAAGAGGTTAATTATATCAGTGCAAATTTTGTACTCGCTGTACCCCTCCTAGATGGGCTCTCCTTTCCTCAGATGCTGTCTGTGAGGAAAGGAGAGCCGATTACTGGAAAAAGGATTTCGATTTACAGTGTGACAGCTGTGATTCAACACAGCTGAGCACATGTAAAAGGGCCGCTGTGATTGGCTCTTTACCCCGACCTGTGATCTGCTGTGTCCAAGGCACAAAGTGATCACAGTGCTCCCAATGCACGGCTGTTAGAGAACGTCCAGGGATGTCCTCCCAGAACTTGAGCAGGGCAGGAAGGGGGTGAACGTGCCCAGTGTTGAAGTGGTTAAATGAACACACTTCCAGTTAGGATTACTTTTAAACAAAACAATATAATTTAATATTTTTTGTTGGGGCAGGGGTTTGAGGTATTACTGCATATAACTGTGTGTATTTACTGTCACACACGATTATATTACACATAACAATATAATACTGTTGTATTAACCTACAAAAGGTTAAAGTGTAGCTTCACCGAAAAAGAGCAAGTTCCCTAAGTCCCACTCCCTGTTAAGGATTGGCACCTTTTGGGGACCGAGGAAGCCCGATTTTTGACAGGTTCCCACCTCCGATGTGCTCTCCTAGGCCAGTGGTCGGCAAGCCGCGGCTCGCGAGCCACATGCGGCTCTTTACAAACTTAAATGCGGCTCTTCTGTGTGCCGGGCCCGCTCCCCTCCCTCCTCTCGGGCGGCCCCCCCCCTCCCCTCCCCTCCCTCCTCTCGGGCGGGCGGCCGCCCGCTCCCCTCCCTCCTCTCGGGTCCGCCCCCCTCCCTCCTCTCGGGCGGCCGCCCCAAAAGTCAGGACTCTGCAGCTGTCAGGATGTAGGCGGGGCAGCCAGGATGTAGGCGGGCAGCGTGACGAACTCCTCTCCTCTCACAGTCCGCCCTGAAGACCAGAACGGCGCGGGAACACGGCGAGAGGAACGCGCGGAGCAAAGGTAAGTCAATTGACACAGGGGGGACTTACTATATGGGGGGGGACTTACTATATGGGGGACTTACTATATGGGGGACTTACTATATGGGGGACTTACTATATGGGGGACTTACTATATGGGGGATGAATTACTATATGGGGGATGAATTACTATAGGGGGGATGAATTACTATAGGGGGGATGAATTACTATATGGGGGATGAATTACTATAGGGGGGATGAATTACTATAGGGGGGATGAATTACTATAGGGGGGATGAATTACTATAGGGGGGATGAATTACTATGGGGGATGAATTACTATAGGGGGGATGAATTAATATGGGGAATGAATTGCTATAGGGGGGATGAATTGCTATAGGGGGGATGAATTGCTATATGGGGGATGAATTGCTATATGGGGGGATGAATTGCTATAGGAGGGATGAATTGCTATATGGGGGGATGAATTGCTATAGGGGGGATGAATTACTATAGGGGGGATGAATTACTATATGGGGATGAATTGCTATATGGGGGATGTATTTTCAGTTTTAAAAATGTGGCTCTCAAAATAAATTTCAATCGTGGTTTTGGCGAGATTTGGCTCAGTTGAAAAAAAAAAAAAGGTTGCCCACCACTGTCCTAGGCGATCAGAAGTTGTTCCCACTTTCCCTGTAGTCTTCTGGGACACGTGACAAGTCCCTGAAGACTACGGGACCATTCAGAAGGCGCAGCGGGCACCCAGCTGTTGAAGCCTCAAGCTGAAGATGTCGGTGCTGGGGAGAGGACAGCCGGTGAAACCTGCTGCGGCGAGGACACCGGTGGATTGAAGGGCAAGTTTGTTTAAATTTTGACTGGACCTCTACTTTAAGTTTCAACAAAGTAGAATGATGTGGTATCCCCTCATCATCTTGTGGCTCTAGATTGCTGAATTTAAAACCGTAATTGCTTTAAGTTGTAAACTTTTTTTTTTTTTTTTTTTTCTAGACTCCTAAAAACAAGTCCTCAGCTTTCTGGATCATCTGGATCATGTCCATGGTTCCCAGAATCCTATGTGATTTACCCAACCAATGAGAAATCTGAGACGTTTCCAGTGGGGCAGGTGAGGAAAGGACTTCAAGACCTAATCAACAGCACCCGTACGGACGAGCGAGAAGAGTTCCTGGAATCGTTCAATGAAAGAAAAGAGAGTGGGAAAGGAAATGTGTGGATCGCCAAGTCCTCTTCAGGCGCCAAAGGTCACCTTTAAAAGATCTTGTATATGTCTGTTAATTTGGTAGTTTCTGACAGATACAATACAATACTGTGCAAAAGTTCTTCACCCGGTCTTCCGGGTTTTCGCTTCCCTCTCAGATAGCGTCAGATTGCCCGTCAGTACACCAGTAATCACATTTAACCCCTTGATTGCCAGGAACATGCGCATACACAATAAACCTCCATTGCTGATATAGTGTCTGAACGGATCAATATCTTTGATCAGAACAGCACTATACCAGCGTTCACATTAGTATAGTGTCCCCAAAAACACAGCGTTAGCAGGATCCGCCCTGGCAAGTGCAGTGTTAGTAGGTCACTGTCATTTGATACATTGCACACAAAACCGCAGTGTTCGCAGAATCAGGCCTGATCTCTGCTAGCACTTGCCAGTAAATTTTGAAGAGTCTTATATGCAGCAGAGTGCCAGTACTAGTGCCGCTCTACCTTTTTGGAGAACTGGTGAGCACCAGCAGCCTAGTACATTCTGGTCTTTCACATACCAGCACTGCAGTATCGCTTGGTGACATGGCGAGTCCTGTAAGTGCAGTACAAGCTGGTGCGGTGGGCGAGCACAAGTATTGTCTCGCAACCACCAAGAATTCGCACACAGGCCCGTAGAGCCCCTAGTATCCTTCCAGATGTGCTTGCAAATCCCGATTGACAGCCCACAAATTCTGCAGCACCCGTACTTCCCCCATTCACTGCCCAACCCGGAATGCGGGTAGAAACAGCAAATTTAACTACCCCCTTGACTTTTTGGAGCTGTTTTTCACGGAAGATCTGAATGCAGTGATTGTGGATCAAAGCAATTTATATGCACAACAATTTACTGCCGCCAACCCAAATTCAAATTTGGGCCTAACCCTCAACATGGGCATTACTAAAAAAAAATGAATTGCGGTTGTATTGGTCCACAGACCCCATTCATCATATGCCCGTGTTCTTTGCTGCCATGGCCAGGCATAGAAATGAGAGTATGTGTTTTATGTATTTCAACGACCATACACTCTGTCATACTCGAGGTGACCCTGAATTTGACCAGCTCCACAAAATTTGGCCCCTTGTAAATCACCTTAACCAAAAATTTTCAGATGTCTATACTCCCCAGCAAAAAATCTGTGTTTGTTATTTTCTCTCATTCATTTTTCTGGCCGCCTTGAATTCAAACTATCTGTCTTCAGCAAGCTTGCCAGATATGGGGTCAAAATGTATAAGACCTGTGAGAGGGCAAAAGGCTATATATAGAAGTTTCGGATTTATGAGGGAAAAGATAGTAACGTGGAGCCCCCTGGATGCCCAGACTACATGGGCAGCAGTGGCAAGATAGTTTGGGACTTGGTGTCATCCTTTTTCCATATGGGGTACCACTTATACGTGGACAATTTTTATTCAAGCATACCACTATTTAGACATTTTGTACAATCTTGGAATTGGCGCAAGTGGCACCGTGCGATCTGTGATCCATTAGAAGTGGGTGGATGCAGGGCGGTATATTCTAATGGTGGGCATACCACGCACTTTTTCTGGCAGAGATTTCTTCTCTCTTTTTTTTCATTCAGCCCACAGGCTGCATAAAAAACAAAACAAAAAAAACATAGGATATATACACCCAACAAGGACCAGCGACGTACTGGTACGTCACTGGACTTTGGTTTTGCTTCTAGTTATACTTTAGGAACACCGTATAAGCCTTATATATTGAATTGAAAGTCCTTGATATCTGGCATCTAAGAAGTTGTATCTCTTTCAGGGAAAGGAATTCTTATATCCTCTGATGCAACACAACTCCTAGACTTCATAGACAATCAAGGTCAAGTCCATGTTATTCAAAAGTATTTAGAAAACCCTCTATTACTAGAACCAGGACATCGCAAATTTGATATAAGGTAAAATTTCTGTTTTACTGTCATCTAAAAATTTTTTGGGAGCAATAGATTATGCATCACTGACATTGGCTATTGTATGTTAAATTATTTACTGTTCTTCCTGATTACTCCATTTTATGCAATCAATTAAATGCTGGCTTCTTTATCAGTCCTGGAGTTAAATGACAGCTGTAGGCAGATTTAAATTGCATGTGTTTCTTTCACCCTGTCTTTATATATTGACGCTATTGAGTAAGAAAGTTACCAAAGTTCAAAAAAAGTCTGATATAGAGCTTGCATATTAAAATACTACTTGTATTTATAGCAACAGCTGTATTGATCTCAGTACCCAAGTCTTCATTGTATATACATGTTTAAAGCGTTAGAGCAGGATAAGTCAGTATTCGCTCTATTTTTTATTCCCTCACTGTGTCTGGGGTTTTTACTCCCAGTCTGTTTCACCATTTAATATAATGTTCTTCACCCTCTATGATGGTTCTCTTCTTTGGATTTGGATTTGGCTCACAGATTGACAAAAGAGAGGGGAACTCTGATAAATAGATTTCTCTTACACTCATTGACCGACACAGCTCTTTTATTCTCTATCATAGGGTTATTTTACCACCTACAGCAGTAGGACATTAGGCAGCAAAAAGAACTCTGCACCACTCACGGGCAGTCCAAGCTTGTATAAACTCTCTCTTTGCTATAGGCAATTCAGTCCTTCCTGCCTAGTGCTCCCTGCTGGGACCTGTAGTTCCTTTGTTTCTTTTTCTTTCTCTATTATCTGGGATTTTCGCCTGTAGAGATCTTCAGTTAAAAGCTGGGCTGGCCACAGGCTGGATAATCTAAACCCAGTGGTCACCTCAGTCTGGCCAACAAGCATGCACAGACCTTTAGCCAAGCGCTGGGTCGGTTGCGACAATACCACATTTTGGATTGGGTGGCCAGAGAGTTAAACGTGTAACGGGGCACAAATGACTGTGTGCCGGAGTCCGCGTCACCATGTTGCCTTGGCCAACAGCCACCCTACTTAGGAGGGGAGGAGGATCTGTTTCAAGAGTGCCACCCACAAGCTCTGATGGATTGGTAAGTAGCAAGCCCCCTCCCTTCCCTCCCTGGATGCGGTGTGTGGCGCGGGTGCTCCCTAGTGCTGTCTGTCTTTGTGGGTTCTCCTCCTCCTCCCCTCTATAGGACTGGGCTCCTGTACTTGCCCCCCTCCCTTCGCGGTTGGGCTGATGTCTGTGCTCTGTATGAGGTGATTTCCCTAGGGCCAGTGCCTTCATGCGAGGGTTTACCAGTGTTCCCGGACTGGTGGGTGGCCTTTGGGTCTCAGACATTGGGGGGTCCCTTGGGGTCTAATGAGTTCACTGTGTGTGGGCACTCTCCCTGGGTTGGTTTGGGGCAAGAGGCTTGCAATGACACATTGTGTGGTATTCAGCTAGCCTCCTGGGAGATGTTTTCCCAGGCCTTGGCCTCTTGCTGCTTCTGCGGGGAAGTGTGCTCATCCCCTAACCGGCCTGTGTGTTGTGTCTCGCGCCCCCTGCGGGTGTCTGCACCATGCAGTTGGGCTGCTCCCAACTTTAGGTTGGGGCTTTGCAACCTATCGGGATGAGCAGTACACGTGTCATCATTTTGACTGTGGGCATCTGCCCTTAGTTTTGGGCACTTCTGCCTACTCCTCTGTTCCTGAGAGCTGGAGGTGAATGGGCAGCTGTGGTGCAGTCAAGCTGATCTGCGGGGCAGTGGGCAGCCGCCTCCTTAGGTTGCGTTACCATTGTTGCTGAGGTTGAAACAAGATGCTTTGGGGTGCCCCACAGCAAGGCACCCCCCCCCCATGTTGAGGGCATGTGGCCTAGTATAGTTCAGGAGGGGGGGGCCTCATCCGTCCCACCCCCCTTTCCTGACCTGCTGGAAAAGGGTCTGGTATAGATTTTGGGGGGAACCCCCATGCTGGGTTTTTTTTTTTTTTTTTTAATTTTGGCGTGAGGGTTACCCTCCAAACCCATACCAGACCTGAAGGGCTTGGTATGGATGGGGGGGACCCCACGCCGTTTAAAAAAAAAAAAAAATAAATTTAATTGCCGGAAATGCTTTTTTTTTTTTTTTTTTTTTTTTTTTTTTTTTTTTTTTTACATTCAGCTGTCGGTGGGGAATCCCTCTTACAGCTGAAACATTAACGCATGGTTTTCACTACTACAATAAAACATGAGTTAAAAAATGCTGTGCGGTATCCTACCGCATACTCAGATGCGGTAAGATACCACTTAGTGACTTGTGCCCAATGTTCCACTTGGTTCTTTGCAGGGTGGTGCCAACAGGTCTTTCTCCTAAGAATAAATGATTGCAATGTTTCACCTGACATAAACCAGTGGTAGCTGTGCCTGCCTATGTATTCAGTGCGTTGTCTACCTGTCTGTGGCTCTTGTTTGATCTCCCATGGGTACCTTGGAAAACCTTTTTCCAAAGAAAAGAAATTCTCCAAAATATATTTATTATTATACAGGACTTGTATAGCGCCAACAGTTTGCTCAGCACTTTACATTATGGAGGGAGACAATACAGCAACAATACAGTTCATTACAAGAGGGATTGGAGGGCCCTGCTCCTTGGAGCTTACAATCTAGAAGGGAGGGGACAGTGGTACAAGAGGAAATTTGCTGTGGGGGATGGAGTGGTAGGAAGAGTAGGGGATTCCAGTCATAGCTGGGGTCGGGGTAGGCTTCCCTGAAGAGATGGGTTTTCAGAGTGCGCCTAAAAGAGCAGAGTAGGTGATAGCCTGATCGATTGGGGTAGGGAGTTCCATAGGATGGTGAAGCCCTTGAGAAATCCTGGAGACGAGCATGGGAGGAGGAGGAAAGGGAGTTAGAGAGTAGTAGGTCCTTTGAGGAGCGGAGAGTACGGTTTGGGTGGTATTTAGAGACAAGGTTGGTGATGTATTTAGGGGCAGTGTTATGAATGGCTTTATTCGTCAGTGTTTAGTGTTTTGAATTTTATCCGCTGGGCAATTGGAAGCCAGTGGAGGGATTGGCAGAGAGGGGTGGCAGATACAGAGCGGTTAGTAAGGTGAATGAGTCTGGCAGCAGCATTCATGATGGACTGGAGTGGGGATAGCCTGCGATGAGGTAGGCCAGTGAGGAGGGAGTTACAGTAGTCAAGGCGTGATATAATAAGGGAGTGAATGAGTTGCTTAGTGGTTTCCAAGGTTAGGAACGGTCGTATCTTGGAGATGTTGTGGAGGTGAAGTCTACATGAGTTTGTCAGTGATTGGACCTTGGGCTGAAAGGACAGATTGTAGTCTAGGATTACACCTAGTACCCTGGTGTGAGGGGTGGGACTGATAGTGTTGTTGATCTTGATGAAGTCTGGGGGGGGGGGGCACAGGCCGGGGGGAATACTAGAAGCTCAGTTTTGGAGAGGTTGAGTTTGAGGAAGTGGAGTGACATCCAGTCCGATATGTCACTTAGTAGGGTGGTGATGCGATTGGAGACTTGAGGGGGTGAGGCAAGGGGTAGAGACAGATTTGTGTGTCGTCGGCATAGAGATGGTAGTTGAAGCCGTGGGAGTTTATCAATTGGCCAAGGGAGGAGGCTTAGATGGAGAAGAGGAGGGGTCTGTGGACAGAACCTTGAGGGACCCTGACAGAGAAAGGGAGTGAAGGGGAGGTGGCAGCGTTATAGGAAACACTGAAGGATTGCTACAATAGATAGAACCAGGAGAGAGCGGAGTCTCTGAGGCCAAGAGTGCAGTTTTTTGAGGAGGAGGGGGTGGTCAACCTTGTCAAAAGCCGCAGAGAGGTCAAGTAGTAGGAGTATAGTATAGTGGCTGTTTGGTTTTGGCGGATAGTAGGTCATTGGTGAATTTGAGTAGGGCAGTTTCGGTGGAGTGTAGGGGGCGGAAGCCGGACTGTAAAGGGTCGCGAAGGTTGTTGTCGGTGAGATGGGAGCCCAGGCGATTGTAGACTAATCGTTCTAGGAGTTTAGAGGTAAATGGCAGTAGGGAGATGGGTCTTAGGTTGTTCAGGTCAGTGGGGTCCAGGGAGGGTTTAAGTATGGGAGCGATGTGCGCGTGCTTTAGAGGGGAGGGGAAGGTACCGGTGGAGAGGGAAAGATTGAAGATGTGAGTGAGGGAGCATAGGATGGAAGAGGAGGGGGATTGCAGGAGTTGTGTGGGGGCAGGGTCCAGGGGGCAGGTGATGAGGCAGGCTTCGGAGAAAATCTAGTGAGCTCTTCGGTGGTGGTGAGGTCAAGGGAGCAAAGTTAAAAATATTAATTTAATACACAAGCCTGAATGCACTTTGTATAAAACAAATCTAAGATTATCTGGCAATTGCCGACCAGAAAAGACATGGTAAATAAAACCTGTAAAACTGCACTTCACAAACCTTCTGTTCGCACGTTAAACCTGATATCATAGTGTTTTTTATTGTGTGTATTTTTTTGTCTTGTAGAAGCTGGGTCCTTTTAGACAGCCAGTACAACATCTACCTGTATCGCGAGGGTGTATTAAGAACGTCCTCGGAACCATACAATGATTCTGATTTTCAGGACATGACTTGTCACCTGACCAATCACTGCATTCAGAAGGAGCATTCAAAAAACTATGGCCGATACGAAGACGGCAATGAGATGTTCTTTGATGAGTTTAATCAGTACCTTGTGAACAGCCTGAACATCAACCTAGAAAACAGCATCCTCTGGCAGATTAAAGAAATTATAAGGTACAGGGTCCATAAAGCTTTCATTTTAGTGATCAATGTAAGATTCATGCAGGGAATGATGTGTATATCAGCAATAAATATTTGTTTTATTGCTGTGGCTTAACTACATATCACAAATTTCACGCTGCAGTAACTGAGCAGAAGTTAGTTTTCCAAAGCACTGAGTATTTTCCTCAACCACCATTTGTGTCTTATGAACAATTGCCATACGTGTTTATATTTTTTTCAGTGCTGCTGAGCTGCTCCAGCCTCTTTCAGCAACTTTCTGTCTACATGCACTAACCATGAATTTACAATGTGTGCTGTCATGACCACTTGTAGTCCTTACAGGGGTGCATGTACCATGGTGAAATTACAGAAACACATTTTGGAGACAGTTGTCTCCCCATTAGAGGAGGTAAAATGTAGAACTACGCTTGCCAGTGTGGATATGGAATAATGGTCTGAATGCAATAACTGATACAGGAGTGTAATTAACCAGTTCCCAACCGTGCTATAGTCGAATGATGGCTACAGCGTGGTTGTGTAATCCTGGTACGATGTCCATGGACGTCATTCCAGAACACACCCCTACGGACACAGCTGATCACGTGATACAGTAAACGGCCAATCACAGTGGCCTTTTACCACATGATCAGCTGTGTCCACTGACACATCAAATCACCTTGTAAATACAGTTGCTAGTTATCAGCTGCACTTTCCTCACGCTGTCACAGCGTGAGGAAAGTATTGCTGAGAACCAGCAATTGTCAGCGAAAGGATCAGCACTGATCAGTGCCTCCTATCAGTGCTGCCTAACCGTACCACCTCATCAGTGCTGCCTATCAGTGATGGAGAAAAATTACCTGTTTGCAAAATTTTATAATAGAAACAAAGAAAAGCTTTTTTATTTTTTGCTCTTTTTTTTTTTTTGTTTATAGCGCAAAAAATAAAATGCCCAGTGGCAAGTAAATACCACCAAAAGAAACCGCTATTTGTGTGAAAAAAATGATAAAAATTTCATATCGATAAAATGTTGCATGAACGCACAATTGTCATTCAGAGTGTGACAGCGCTGAAAGCTGAAAATTGACATGGGCAGGAAGAGTGCATAAGTGCCCAGTAGGCAAATGGTTAAAGGAGATATACAATGAAAGTGTATGCTGTAATTGTAGAACATCAGAACTGTAATAACACAAGCAGTAGTTATTTTTTATAATCTAATATAACCTAATTTAAAAAAAATCTTTCGTGTTGAGAGCTGCCTGTCTGCTGACTCTTTCCACAACTGGATTCCTTGCATGTTTGCAGCTTCTCTACTGCAGTTTCCCTTCAGTTTCTAAGTACTGCATATCCCATGTTACCTTGATGCCTACAAAGCGTGTTCCTGCCTCCTAAATTGCCTCCTTTCATTAGCTCTGTAGTTCAGACAGCAGGCTTTGTGAAATGTGTGACACAAGCAGTTCATATTCACATGGTATAGTGACCATGTCACAGATTACAAGATGGTAAAAATATATAGGATTCTTTGAATACATTTTTAAACCTCCAAGATTTTTCAGAATAATAGCAGTAGACTAGAAATAATTAAAATACAATGTGGAAATGATTATATGATTTTCAATATTGACCACAGAAACACTTTTTTTTTTTTTAAGTGGTCGTAAAGGCTGAAGGTTTTTTTTTTTAAGCATGAAGATTAAAAAAAACACCTGTGTGCAGCAGCCTCCCCCATCCTCCCTATTACTTACCTGAGCCCCATCGTGATCCGGCAATGTGAATGAGAGCCTCAGCTCTCTGGGGACTTTCCCTCCTCATTGGCTAAGACGGCAGTGGGAGCCATTGTCTCCCACTGCTGGCAATCACTGCCAATGAGGAGAGATAGGAGGCGGGGCCAAGCTGCAGCTGTGTGTGTAAATGGACATGCAGAGCAGTGGCTCTGGACTAAGCGTACTTGGATGCACCCATAGCAAGCTACTTTCTTTTTTTTTGCCTTTTAATATCACTTTAAAGCTGAACTCTTGGTATGATTTTTTTATTGCAGTTTAGACCAACGTAAGTATTTGTATCGCATACCTGAGGAATAGCTGTGAAAGCTGACAACCACTATATTAGTCACAGCTACTACAGTGATAGCTGTGATTTTCTGGGCCCTGTGCCATGCAGCCTTCTGCATAGTTGATTGGCTCACTCACTTGACAGTGCTGTCAAGAACTCCTGTCAGTTGGAGAAGGGGAGAAGGCCTTCATCCATGGTATTCATTCAAAAATATAAAAGGCATTCTGTGAATGGGAGCAGTGCAGAGCAGTCCTCTGGGGTTACTGTGCAGATGGGAAGTTGCTTGGCACGAGACCTGGATGATGGCAGCAATCACAATAGTAGCAGCAGCTATTACAGTAATTGTCAGATTCCCCAGCAATGGTTCAGACATGATATATGCATACTTCCATTGTTCCATGGTGGACCACTGTAACTATGCAATAAAAATCATACATAGACTTCAGCTTGAGGCCCCATTTACACCTGCGTGTTGTGCTAACGCTCGGCTTTTTATGTAACAGAATGGGGTCTTATATCTAGGCTCTGAACCAACAAGTAATGGTAGAAAGATACAGTGTTGCAAAGTAGTAGAAAGATCTGCTTTTCAGAGTATGCTGGGCTAAAATACAGCACCAGTGTCTCACTATCTGCGACTATTCGCACGGGTGACTAACAGCAGTGGCAATGACAGCGACAGAAATCTGCTGATTTCCTGTTGCGGTTTCTACCACTTATGAGTAGTTAGCTGCAGTTGCCAAGCCCTGTAAATTTCAGTTGCAGGTTTACTGTCACTGTTATTCGTACCAGTGCTATTTGCCTGTGCAAATGATGCCTTGAACTGCATTAGAAGAAAGTGAAAGTACCTGTGGGGTATGAGGCTGTGTCCTTGATTATGTGAAGTGTGAGTCAGGGCAGATCATCCTTGTGCAGAAGTGTTCCAGCAGGATTCTAGCAGAAAAGTATTATCTCAATATTTCATTTCCTGGGCATCGCTTTTCTTGTGGCCAGTGAGACTCCAAAAAAAAAAAAAAAGAAGTCCAATGCATGCAATAGAAGAGGAGTCAGCTGTAACTCCTCCAATCATTTTAAATGGTTTCAAAGATCCACAGTCTCCTTTCTCAAGGTGGGTCCTGCTATGTTTTGTGGTCTTCTCTTTATGCATTTGCCATTTAACCCTTTGTGTGCTGGTGGAGATTCATCTCTGTTAAAGTGCTAATTTGTGTCTGCATTATCCTACTGTAGGGGTTTAATTAATTCTAGGTTCACGCTGTCCTCATTTTTGTTTGCCACATTTGCGCAGGCATAGCAGTCCATTCGTTTCAGGAAAACACAGGGAAAAGGTCCCTGCACCTTTTCAAAATTGCAGCTACAAGGAAACTGGTGCTTTTGCACCGTAAAGGTTTCATGTACCCAAAAACACACTGGGGGGGAATTCAATAAAGCTGCTGCACACTTTTCTGCCGTTAATCCTTCTTGCTAATGTATTGAACCAAAATTCATGAAGCATTTGCAACACTGGGTTCTGACATCAAATTTACTAAATTGCACCACTTTTACATTGTGTCACATTGAATGCCTCACTTGTACATTGTTTTGCATTGAATGCACCAAATGTAAAAATGGAGCCAATTAAGACCAACTCTCTTTTGACATACAAAGAGAAAAATTGGCTCAGACTGTTTTTGTGAAAGTCATGGGCATTCTAAAAGTGGTGCAGCATGAGTCAAATTCAAGTACAAGTTCTAGACAGATACATAAATTTGCGGAATAGAGGGCTAGTGTGTGTAGGCATGATGTGACTCCAAACACCCAAAAAATGTCCCAGGGACTTTGTGAGACACACCAAAAGTAGTAAACTTTACTTTTTATTGAAAATAGACATTAAAATGGCTCAAGCTAGGTATAAAAACCTTAATACATACACATAGAATAATGATATAAATATATCATGAGTAAATACACGCACATTCCACATCTTGACAAATTCATGATAGAAGAGCTCTTGCAAGGATCTCGATGCGTTTTGTGAGACAGTGCTCACTTCCTCAGGAGTTTTTTTTAGAATTCATAAATCTCTACGTGGGAACCAGGACATAAGGAAAAATAATAAATATGAAAAAAAAATACAACATTGGATGATACTTACAAATCCACCAAAGGTATAAAAACACCAAATAAATGCTCATCCATATATAAAAAGTATAGTAGGGATATGCCAACTAGTCCACACTGTCTCAACTGGGAGAACCAGAGCAATCAAAGAGTTCACCGCAGTGGTGTAACTGGAGGCGCAAAAAAGGAGGAACACAATATAGATAAGACAAAGACATGAGTGAAAAAAAATAAATACACCATAGAGTGAACTCAGGAGACCTTATCACTAGAGTACCACAAATACATGAATTTGCCGCATTTTTCACCACTTTTAGAATGCATGAGTGACACCTCCACTAAAGCTGCCTGCGCCAGTCTGTATGAATTCCAGGGACTGTTTTTCTGATTTGTGGGGGGTGCGATTAAGAATTAATGTCACCCCTATGCGTCTGCAGAGCAGCATGTTTTTGGCTGTAGGTACTTTCTGGTATGGAAATCCGTGCGCTTTACGCACTGACCCACACCTGCAACCATTCGCAACAGTGTGAATCTAGCCTAAAACTGAGACGCTGTTGCAAATTTTCAGCGTATAAAAAATAATAGTGCAGCGCTAACAATAGTATTAAAATAGTAGGTAGTAAAATTAATTAATTGAAGTTCGTATAATGGATCCCAGAAGCAGCATCAATAATAAATCAAATAATGATAAAAGATCTATAAAAGTTCATGTAATACATCTAATGTGCGGCACCAGTAAAACTTCCTCTGCTGTAATACGCTTGTGACTGGTAGAAATAGCAGAAATGCACATTTACCGACCACGCATTAGGAATGCGCATGTAAGTAACCATCAACTGAGGTGGATAACACTGGATAGATGGTAGGACATCCCTCTAGGATATGAATCGTCCAACTTTGGTGACGTGATGTACAGCAGGGCTCAGAGGTCTCCTTAATATCGGATGAACAGCCTGGATGGATGTGCTCTCTCCTCTGGATCTTGGTGTAGTAGAAAATACTGTGTGGATCTGAAACCCTCAATATAGGGTCAAAAACAAAGAGGGAGTGCCCATAGTGTAGTAGGTAATGCTTTATTCCAGAATATAAAATATTGTGTGGGTACAGGTATGTGTCAAAATGAATAGACAGGGATAGTCTACTGACCCTAAAGTAAAATGGCCGCTGGGCCTCCTTGTGGTCGCGGCGGTGTATGACGTCACACGTGCTGTCGGCTCCTCCTGAGGCCTTTCGTGCTACGGGACTTCATCAGAGGGGAGGCCAACAGCCACATGACGGACGTCAGTGCTTAAATAGCCGCATCGAGACGCCATTTTGCCGTGGGTATTTCTCTTAGAACTAGACGCTACAGAAACTGCTGTCCAAACAAGCAGGATGAGAGGTCAGAATACACAGAGTGTGACAGAACCCAGGGGGGAAAAAGATTAACTTAGATGACAGTGAAAGTGATCACTATCGTCAAAGGGATGATAAAAATAAAAAAAAATAAAAAATTTTCAGTGTAACTTGCTTAGCCAGCAGTTCTACACTACTTTGCAAAATAGTATCTCTTTATCACTACACAGCCCAGATTCAATTATACTCGTGTGAAAGTTTATCATAGTCTACAGTACATTAATAAGTTCTCCACACTGGCAAGCACATTTCTACTTTTTTTTTTTTTTTTTTTTTTTTTCTCCGCAAGAGCTGATTCATACGTGCGGATTGAAGCTCAGGTTTCACAGTTAATTGACACAGTAGTTGTTCAGTGATTCATGTCAGGTTTACATCAGGATCAGGACAGCTTCAGGTCAGGATTTTATCCTTTTCACACATGTGCGATTTAGAAACAGTTCCCATAGAAGTCAATAGCCTGTATTCCGAACCTGACTGCACTGCTCAGAAATCGGGCAGCACTCTTTTCCAATCTGCACCACCAGTGCACCAGACATATGTGAACAGGCACCATAGGAAGCAATGTTGTTTCACATGTCATGCGGTTTGGATGCGGTTCAAACCACTCCATTCCGCATATACCGTATTTTTCACTCATTAAGATGCACCTGACCATAAGACGCGCCTAGGTTTTAGAGGAGAAAAACAAGAAAAAAATATTCTGAAACAATTGACTGCAGACACAGTACAGGGGAGTGACCAGAGACTGCGGACACAGTACAGGGGATGACCAGAGACTGCGGACACAGTACAGGGGATGACCAGAGACTGCGGACACAGTACAGGGGATGACCAGAGACTGCGGACACAGTACAGGGGATGACCAGAGACTGCGGACAGTACAAGGCATGACCAGACACTGCGGACCTTTTAGGTAGGGGGAGCGGGTACCTGAATTTGACAGGTACCCACTCCCACTTCCGCGGAGCTGTCCTCCCTTTACTGTGGGCACCCGGCTTCTTCCCGCCCCGGCATCTGTGACAGCCGGGTGCCCACTGCGCATGTGCAAGAAGCGCTGCGCTTTGTGAATGGCTCGGCGTCTTCTGGGACCTGTCATGAGACGCCGGACCATTCACAAAGCGCAGCGCTTCTCGCGCATGCGCAGTGGGCAACCGGCTGTCACAGATGCCGGGGCTTGAAGAAGCCGGCGCGGGAAGACTGCAGCGCTGGACCGAGGAACAGGTAAGAACAGCTGAGCGGCCTGCCCGTATTCTGACATGGTGGCGGTGGAAATACCGGACCGGCCGCTTTACTATATATTCGCTCCATAAGACGCACTGATATTTTCCCCCCTTTTTTGGGGGAAAATAGTGCGTCTTATGGAGCAAAAAATACGGTATGTGAACTGACATTCTTTTTTGGGGCTCTGTTTCAACAGAACCCTGTTAGAACAATGCAGCTGCCTACAATACAGCTTAATGTTTTTAAGCACCATTCACAATTGCTGCAATACATGAGAGAGGCCGCAATAGCTGTAGGCACAGTCAGGCTCACATTGCTTTCAGTGAGGCTTCCCACCCGACCGGTTTCGCATCCATCACCACTGAGTTTTCCATGGGTCATGAGAAATGGCCTCATTTACTAGTGGGAGCTTTGCTCAGTTGTGTTTTAAACCATAATAGAAGTGCCTGATAAAGAACCTTTATGGCAGAACCACCAGAATCTCTTCTAATGAAAGCTATTAAAAACAAATATTGGTGAAAAACATCTTTTATTGTATTCAACATGTAAAGATATATTTAATATATATATATATATATATATATTATATATAGTTTATATATTATTTATTTTTTTTTTTTTGTCCTGGGTTTGGATCTACTTCAAGTAACGGGTTTTGAATAAGAGGAACATGGTATTTGACTTCAACAGCCAGATGGGAATAAAGTCCTGCAATGAGGCTTCGTAAAGACTGAATTATGCTTTGGATACTAGGGGTGTTCTGGCTTTGTGGAATAAGATGTCCTCTTTCTTGACTGTGTGCTAATCTTTTAACTCTTCAATGTCTACTTTTTATTCAGAGTCTGTCTGACTTGTATAGAACCTGCAATCAGCACAAAGCATCTGCCTTACCAGAGTTTTTCAACTGTTTGGCTTTGATTTTATGGTTGATGAAGAAATGAAAGTCTGGTTGATTGAAATCAATGGTGCCCCAGCCTGTGCACAGTAAGACATTCACTTAATATTTTCTGAATCAAGAACCCACAGGATCAAACAGAAAACCACTATTATGTTAAAAATCATGTTTCTGTACCTAGCTTGTAATGATATATGCATTCTACTGCATCGCCACATTTTGTCAACTAGGTTATCTATAGGTTTAAAGGTTAGAACTGGTGTGCAGTTCAGACTGCTGCTGAGAAAGAGGACACAATTTTTTTTTAGTTCACCTTTAAGCTACAATCTGTAATGATTATTATCCCTGAAATCTTTAGGCCTCATGCACACAGGATGTTTCACAGCTTCCCATCCACCCTATAGTAGTAATGCTGCTACAGGGTGGTCAAACCTTCTTTTATTTTTTGTGCTATAAAAAAAAAACAAAAAAAACTTGCATGCGAACATATACCACCGAAAGCTCTATTCGTGGGGAAAAAAGGACTTTAATTTGGGTGCAGCATTGCATGACTGCGCAATTGTCAAAGTAACGCAGCGCCATAACGCAAAAAATAGCCTGGTCAGGAAGGGGGGTAAATCTTCTGGAGGGCAAGTGGTTAATAAAAAAAAAAAAGAAGCCTTCCTCCTTCTCCTAGAAGCCTTCCTCCAGGCAGCAGCGTTTTTTGCAGGAAAAATGTCTGATGCTTGTAAAAGTATCTAATGCTTTTACAAGCATTTAGGCGTGTTTTACAGGTGTCAAGCGCTTGGGGTGTTCATTTCTTTGGGCCAGAATAATAGTTTATTCTGGCCATTGAAATGAATGTAACGCTCAGAATGCCCTAACACCTTTTTATCCTAACACGTTTAGACTGGCCTGTATTCTTCCTGCCTGTATGCTGCCACTACTAGAGCTCCTATGTGTGCATGGACATATAGGATAACATGGGGGGCGTTTACAAGCAGTAAAAAAAAAAAAGAAAAAAAATGGCTACAAATCGCCCTGTGTACATGAGGCCTTAAAGTGAACTTGTGCTTTGCACATGGTTGGCAAATTCAAATGAAAAAGCATTCAGATTATGTGGTGTGACAGGACTCGTAACACCTAATTTTTTACTTTATTTTCCTTTTAGCTTCCAACACTGCTTTACATCACTACAGAAAAGGAGGAAAAAAAAATGCATATTTTGCTGCCTCAAATATTCCAAAATTGTATGTCCGCCACTTCATAATAGGCAAACTAAGTGAAAATTCAACAAAAATCTATAAATGCTTCAGAAAATGACACTCCACAATATTCAGTGGTCTGTCCACTAACAAAGACAAAAAAAATCCTATTTGACAGTTTCCACCCCCTTTATAAATGGGCTTTTTCACATTTTATGAAACCTTTTTTTTTTTTTTTTTTTTTTTTTTTTTTTTTTTTTTTTTAAAAAAGCACATCTAAAGCATAACAAAATATATTAAATCTTACAAATCTTTAGATTTGGTGGTTGCTTTTCTTTCTTTACCTTTCTTTTTCTTTGTCCGTGAAGAAGGCATAAGGAACATTTAAGTTTGTGCTTTTGATAGCCGTTTTTAATTCCTTTAATGTTACACAGCAGGTTCCCTGATCTTTTAATGAATATATTCTGTTAAAGCTTAATAAAATGTGAATTGTACTTGATATAATTTAACTGAATACAGAAACCCAGAAATATGTGTGCAATGAGATATTTTTGAAAATAAGATGATAGTTGAAATAACTATTGCTTTACGTATTTGGGGATATATAATTGAGGGGTTTGGAATATACATTTTTGTTTTTTTAATATATTTATTTTCTTTTTTAATCCAAAGGAAATTGTATGCAGAACTTTGCCAGGGCATCGTCGATCTTGCCATCTCCACTGTCTTTCCCCTGAATGACAGTGTGCAGAAGCGGAACCAGGACAATACATTCATCAAGCTTTGAAATCTCTGCCTTATTTATTTACTGACATGCTCAGCTGCCACATTTATTGGTCGAAATACAAACCAATGTCCTTGCCTAGTATCATGCCAAATAGAGAGATAATAGGAATTTAAAGATCAGCGGACTTTCTGAAGGCTCCAGGAAGTGCTGAACTGGATTTGACTGCTTTGCTTTTTAAATGCCAAACCATTAGGTTTTTATATATTTATATGTATATATTTGTGGTGTTTTTTTTTTTTTTTTTTTTTACTTTTTATTAAATATAAACTAGAAGATGAAGGATGCTTCCATAACCTAACTTGGAACACTGTTTCTACATAAAAATTGGGAAAAGTATTTCTTGACAATACGGTGTGAAGTACCGTATGTTTAGTACCAGTCTTGGGGCTGGTAGTAATCTGGCTGTTTAAGAAGCTGCTGAAATTTCCATTTGCATTTAGCTGAGCTTAGTACAGTCAACTCCCCCACCACTGCTTATAGGCTTCTCTGAACTCTACAAGTAGCATTTATTCTGTGTGCTGCTGATTTTTGGTCTGAGTGCAGAGCAATGCATCTCACAAATCGGGGCCAAGTGCAGCCCAATGTATTTGGGACTCTGATGGTCTCTTAAATGTCTCTTGCAAAAGCCGTTCAAGAGTTAATCTACACAAAGCTCTTAATTCAGTTATGGCTGGATGCTAGTGGACTGAATTGCTCACTGGTTTGTTATATTGACTAAGGGCTGCAGTAGCTAGCTTTTCCAGCAGAGATTGTACATCACTGCTGCATTATTCTATAAAAAATTGTAAAAACACAACTGCAAAGAGTATATGTAAGGGCACTTTGCCCTTACCTCATTGATTATCATACCCTAGGATCTAATTGCTAGACAAGATGTTTGCATAGCCTGACCATAAATGTTTATAATTCATCTTGCATGCACTTGATTAGTTTGTTCTACTTTTATGGACAGTGGTATCTTAACGACTGTAAGTTGGTCTTTTCCTAAAGTCACTTTACATTCTGCATAGCCAATTGTGTTTTCATGTTTTTCTTGTTATTTGCTCCTTTCTTAGGACATATTCTCTCTTTTGTAAAATGCTCCCGATGTTTTATGTTCAATCTTAAATTCTCTTTGTTTCCATTTTTTTTTACTCGTCAGTTTCCATACTCCTTCCCCTTGTAGCACACTTCATTTGCGCCAACTTCAGGGTCCCCCCTCCTGCCCCTGACAGATACACATCCTACTCTAAATGGCAAGAATAGTTATCTGCATTGACCACAGCTAATTTTTTTATCTGATATATAAATATATTATTTACCTTCTATTAATATGCAGTAGCAGGGTAACAATGAATCAGTGCATTCACAGTGGTAAAATGACTAAGTCGCCCTGCAGAAGAAGGGATGTGGACTGACAGGATCACCATGTATGTAATCTGAGAATCTTTCTGCAAAATAAAGGGGCAATTCCATTTCCTAGCAATATACTGATTTGAATTGTTATAATAATCGTAACAGCCACATCAGTAATCCTGTCTAATGGCAGACAAGTATACAGGTGAAACCTGAAAAATTTGAATATTGTGCAAAAGTTCATTTATTTCAGTAATGCAACTTAAAAGGTGAAACTAATATATGAGACTCATTACATGCAAAGCAAGATAGTTCAAGCTGTGATTTGTCATAATTGTGATGATTATGGCTTACAGCTCATGAAAACCCCAAATGCACAATCTCAGAAAATTTGAATATTGTGGAAAGGTTCAATATTCTCGGCTCAAAGTGTCCCACTCTAATCAGCTAATTAAGCCATAACACCTGCAAAGGGTTCCTGAGCCTTTAAATGGTCTCTGTCTGGTCAGTAGGAATCACAATCATGGGAAAGACTGCTGACCTGACAGTTGTGCAGAAAACCATCATTGATATTGTTTTGAAAGCCTCAAAAGGTAATTGCAGAAGAAATTGGATGTTCCCAAAGTGCTGTATCAAAGCACATTAATAGAAAGTTATGTGGAAGGCAAAAGTGTGGAAGAAAAAGGTGCACAAGCAGCAGGATGACCGCAGCCTGGAGAGGATTGTCAGGAAAAGGCCATTCAAAAGTGTTGAGGACTTTCACAAGGAGTGGACTGCGGCTGGAGTCAGTGCATCAAGAGCCATCACACCCAGACGGATCCTGGACATGGGATTCAAATGTCGTATTCCTCTTGTCAAGCTGCTCCAGAACAACAAACGTCAGCGTCTTACCTGGGCTAAAGAAAAACAGACCTGGTCTGTTGCTCAGTGGTCCAAAGTCCTCTTTCTGATGAGAGCAACTTTTGCATCTCATTTGGAAACCAAGGACCCCAGAGTATGGAGGAAGAATAGAGAGGCACACACTGCAAGATGCTTGAAGTCCAGTGTGAAGTTTCCACAGTCTATGTTGATTTGGGGAGCCATGTCATCTTCTGGTCAATGCAGCCATCTACCAGGAGATTTTGGAACACTTCATGCTTCCTTTCGCAGACGAGCTTTATGGGGTTGCTGACTTCATTTTCCAGCAGGACTTGGCACCTGCCTACACTGCCAAAAGCACCAAAACCTGGTTCAATGACCGTGGTATTACTGTGCTTGATTGGCCAGCAAACTCACCTGACCTGAACCCCATAGAGAATCTATGGGGCATTGCCAAGAGACAGATAAGAGACATGAGACCGAACAATGCAGAAGAGCTGAAGGCCGCTATTGAAGCATCCTGGTCTTCCATAACACCTTAGCAGTGCCACAGGCTCATAGCTTCCATGCCACGCCGCCACATTGAGGCAGTAATTGCTGCAAAAGGGGCCCAAACCAAGTACTGAGTACATATGCATGCTTATACTTTTCAGAGGTCCGATATTGTTCTATGTACAATCCTTGTTTTATTGCTTGCATGCAATATTCTAATTTTCTGAGATTGTGGATTTGGGGTTTTCATGAGCTGTAAGCCATAATCATCACAATTATGACAAATCACGGCTTGAACTATCTTGCTTTGCATGTAATGAGTCTAGCTCATATATTAGTTTCATCTTTTAAGTTGCATTACTGAAATAAATGAACTTTTGCACGATATTCTAATTTTTTGAGTTTTACCTGTGTAAGACAGCTTGCTATCAAAGCCCTTACAAATTAAAAAAGCTGATGGGTGATTCAGTCTCTTGTGATTTATGCAATACGAGCATGTTTGTTCGGTGTAGACTACCCAATTTAAAGTGGTATCCTTCTCTAGCCAGCTTGGTTAGAAATCTCCTTCATTCCCCCCCCCCCCCCCCGCAAGCAATAGAATTAAAAGAAGGTCTATGCTCAAATCCCTCAGCAAGCCACTGCTTTTAAGTGTTTGCAAGGCCAAAGTTACATTATACTAGAAAAGTCTAAGTAGCTCTAAGCAGTAGTAGCCTTGGAGAGCTGTTTTCCAGAGGACCCACAAACAGCTAATGCCTGGCAAGGCAGCTTACCAACAGTCAGAATTGCTCCTGAAATACAAGAGTTTCTACCATTCTGCCTTAGGGGGAAATATGCCTTTCAATGCAAGGGTTTCAGAAAGGAGACTATGTTCTAAATCCAGTATAGTGCCTTAGCCTTTTCATTGCATTTTTACTTTTCAAAGATTGCGTTGTAGAACAGTTTAATAGATGGCTCTTTTGGATTTAGCTGACCATAAATGCTGCCGGAACACAATTTTTTTTTTTTTTTTTTTTTTGCAATGTATCTGCTACAATTCAGTTGACATGTTCTATCACTATTGAAATTAAATATGTTGTGTGTGTGTATATTTATTTAAATAAAAATGTAATGTCCTCTGCAACACAAGATAGTAGATTGATTATCAATGTTTCAAGATTTTTACACGCTAAAGTAACTCCTAGATCTACACGCGTGACAGCATATCACATAGAACATCTGTAACAGAGCTAAAAGAATAGGTGGTCTGTTCATGTGTGTAATGTCCCAGCTCCAGTTTGTATTGTGTAACTTGGTAAACTGAATTCAAATTAAATGCATTTTAATGACACCACTCCCTTAGTCCAATATGACTGCAAGGATGTGGTTACTGTAGTTTAGCCCCTTTCCCACTATGGTCATTCAGTATGGAATATATACACCAGTTTTTGGGTAAAGGGGCGAGTTTTTTGAGGCAGTCAGAGAAGAAAGACCTATTCTCTGGAGATGGGAAACATCTTGGACTTGCATGTGACTGAGACTAGAGTTCCCACAAGAGAAACAGGTGGGCCCATAAGACTTTGTTCCAAGTCAACCAGACCTGGCAGCTGTCACATTGGGAATTATAGGTTCCCTTCCAAGAGCAGTCCTAACTGTTGAAATGGCTGTTTCTTGAAATGGAGAGACAATAATGGTCATGATTAGTCAGCAACTACATGAGCTCCTGTTGAAAGAGAAGACATATTGAGTGGGACACAGCGACAAGGGACAGAGCATGGCCTTGAAGGTGCAGTGAGGGTTGATTGCGAGGGTGCATATGGAGTAAGAATCCCTCTGATGCTGCTACTTTCCTTTTGCTGTATAGCTAGCTCTGCCAAACACTGGTGCCATACATGCATGTTATATCCTGTAATCTGTCAACCAGACATTTGCATAGAATACGCCTTTTACATAGGTTTTTCCACATGAACTCTCCAAGCGCTGTAATAAATATGTAACAGTACGGTTCTACCTAAGAAAAAAAAAAAGTAAAACAAAATCTAAAGTAGAACATTTTTCATGGGGCTAAGGATTGGCTGATTCTTTGAGCAGTGGGTCATGTTCCACATCTAGGCAATTGGATATTAGCAAAGCTGGAAACCCAGCCCTGCCTAATCCCTCCCACTCCAAGCCTGCTTTTTATTTTTCTAGGTGATCAACTTGTTTTTCTCTGCTGTGAGAGAAATTTCTCATTTTATTGGTGTTTACTTTGATCTTGTAGCAGGTTTTTTTCTAGTATCTGGGTCTATGTCCTAGGGGCTTCATCCAGCATCATTTATTCAGATTGGATGCTTCTTTTC